GCGAAACTTATATTTATGGTATATGGGAGCATTTTTAATTTTCCAATTATTAGTCTATTTAACATTCCTATAGCACTTAAAATGTGGATTAACCCCTATAAAAACTCTATTTTCTGAAGAAACATAAACATTTAAAATTTCAAACCTATTTAATCTTCATAATATGTTTTTGTAAGATGCAGCTAGGCATTAAAACAAAAATTCCATTTTTTATAATTTTTCTTGAAATATGTGGGTTAATACAACACGGAATTTTAATACAACTCTATTTTTAGAAGAAACAGAAACATTTAAAAACACAAACATATTTAATCTTCATACTATGTCGGTGTATGATGCAGATATGCATTAAAAATACTCATAATTTATGATTTATCTTGAAATATATGGGTTAACTCCTACGAAAAACTGAATTTTCTGATAAATACTATATATACTATTTACCATCTTACATGTTGTTTAAAAATACAGAAACACACTCCAAATTTATATATATTTTTCTAAACTTATATTCATGGTGAATAGGCAGCATTTCTAATTTTCCAATTATTAATGTATCTAACATTCATATACCACTTAAAATGTGGATTAACCCCTATAAAAACTTAATTTTATTAAGAAAAAGAAACATTTAAAATCTAAGACCTATTTAATATTTATACTATGTCAGTGTACGATGAATCTATGCATTAAAAAAAAATTCTGTATTTTATAATTTATTTTGAAATATGTGGACTAACCCCTACAAAAAACTGAATTTTCCGATAAATACTATATGTACTATTTAGCAACTTCCGTGATGTTTAAATATACCTAAAAACACTCCAAATTTATATATATGCTTGCTAAACTTATATTCATGGTCTATGGCCAGCATTTTTAATTTTTCAATTATTATTTTTATTTAACATTCATATACCAATTAATATGTAGATTAACCCTTATAAAAATCCTATTTTCTGGAGAAACGGAAACATTTAAGGTCTTAAACCTATTTAACCTTCATAATATATCGGTGTATGATGCAGCTATGTATTAAAACAAAAATTCCTTTTTTTTTTAATTTTTCTCGAAATAAGTGGGTTAACCCTTACGAAAAAACTGAATTTTCCAATAAATACTATATGTACTATTTAGCAACTTCCGTGTTGTTTAAAAATACATAACCACACTCTAAATTTATATATATGTTTGATATAGGGTTGAGGGTTTAGAGTTTAGGTTTTATAGATATCCAAGGGTTCGGAGGTATGCAAGGGTTTATGGTTTACAGATATGCAAGGGTTTAGTTTTTTTTTAGAGTTTACGGTTTAGGATTTAGGGTTCCAGATTTACTCATATATTTGTAATGCTAGTCGGACAAATGGTTAACGATATTATATACTCATCTGGAAGTGATCTTGGATTAAGTTGTTAGGGTTCACGGTTTTGCCCTTTCTCTCCAGTTTAATGCTTGAACCTTAGTTAGATGACTAATAGTTTGTAACTGAGGTAATTATCAATATTTTCTCGTTACAATAAATTTTAGCCGTGTACTAAAATTATTATTTATATATTTGTCATGTTAGCCGGTCAAGTGGTCGACAATATTATTTACTCATCTATGAGAGATTATGGATCAATCCTGGGGGTTTTGTATGTAGAGTTAATTAAAGAATTTAGTGTTTCGTGTATAGGTTTAATAGTATAGAGTTAATTAAATGATGCAACTTCCGCTAATGTAAATGTAATCTCTATTTTATCTTACCAAATCTATCAAAGATTTTATGTCAGAGATGTAAATGAAATCTCTATTTTATCTTATCAAACCTATCAAATATTTTTTGTCAGAGATAAGTACCCGAAAGCAAAATTCGGTCCACTAAATTTTCAAGTAGGCAAGATATTTTGGTCATTGTCACAACACTTTCTTTGCCACGTATACTCTTTTTTTCTCCTTTTTGGTATTCTCTTAATTTCCTAATCTTTTCTATCTAAATTGCTCTAAAATGTAAATTTTACTTTATTATGCCTGCATCAATGGAAGAATTTCTTACAAAAAATGAGAAAAAGGAGAGAGAATTTTATGACTTTTAAACATTTTGAGAACACTTTTAACTGGCCAATATATATACATATATATATATAAGCATTATAAACATATGTTTAGAGATTCAGTTGAGTATTCAATAATCATTGTTGATGTCCTTATTTTACCATCTTCTGCAATCTGTTAAAATATTGAGTTCTAAATTATTATCATTGACATCTTTTCCAAATAAAAAAGACTAATTGAGTATAGCTTTCGTAACCAGAATAATTCACTTGTTTAAGAAAAACAGAATCATAGTTAACTAGGATAAGACCTGCGCCTTGCGCATGGTGAATATATGTAATTAAAATATAAAATTTTAATATTCACAAATTTAAAATTTACATATGATTGTTTTTGTATGTATTTGAAATTTTAGAATTTTGGAATTTTTATATAATTATCTATACGTATGATAAAAAACAATTTTAATTAGAAATGTAAATCAAATCTTAGAATTTAATGGATCTGATTTCATATATCTTTTTACTTTTCAGTGTTCGAGTGATGGAAAATAAATGGAGTGTCACTGGGCTTGATTGGTAGAGTATAGCAAGTTCCCTAATGTTTTTAAAGAAGCAATTGGTAAAATATTTGCAATTAAAATATATAAAGTT